GATTGTTAAGTGTAAATATCGCTTATATTTTATATCTGGAGATTAATGGTACGAGATATGTACGTAGGGGTTTTCTTGTCTGGATTACCCCTTTATCGTGCTTTTCTCATATTATTAATCTCTAAGATACAATTGCGGAATTTCGAGGATGAAATTCTTTAAAAGGGGGTGAATGTAAAACCCCGTGAATTTTGGAAAGTAGTGTGAATTATATTGATAAATGAGCTCTAATTATAATAAATATTATTTATGGATGAATGATTATGCTAACAATTAATTTGAGATCAATTAAGAGTATATATGAGAGTATACAAAGGTTAAACATGCATAAAGAAGAAATCTAGAAAAAATGATCGGTTAAGAGTATATCTGTATTACACACCAATAAAGTTCGAATCTTGAAAAACTAAAAAGACAAACGTTGTAGGTATCTTCAGTATATTTCCAACACATCTTAAATCAACTCATTTCGAGGTCGTACGTGAAAGTTACAGTCAAAATACCAAAGACTATTTTCTTAGTCTGACTAGGTTTTCTGTTTCGGGTTTGGGCTGTTTTGATTCGAGTTTGCAGTTATATATACATGTTTACACACATAAAACACATTATTTCATCAGTATTCCAAACCCTAGCAGCCCCTCTATCTCTCTTTCAAACCCTAATCATAATTTGTGAGATTTGGGAGAGTTCTTGAGGCGTTTGTCGAGAGGAAGACGAGATTTTGTGACTTTGGTGAATAGGGATCTTGCACGCACGTGTTTAGGAGTTCAACATGACGTTTGAGGCAAGATCATCTTCCTCCAAACCTTTCACTGTAGTTAATTCAATATATAATATGTTTAATTGAAGAATCTCATGTTTAAGCTTAACCCGATGTTTTAAAATCTTAATTCAGGATGTTAATCTTTAAACCAATATGAAAATCTGTAGTTTTAGTTGCTGTTTATATTAGTTTGATGATCATGATCATTAGGGTGGTATTTAATTTCGTTTTTAATCTTTTTATATGCCTCATGTTGATAAAAATAAGTTTTTAAATAAAGTTACAAAATACAAAACATCAGAAACTTAAACTTGTATTTTCCTCTCTGGCCCGATCGACCGACGAAGACTAGCTGGTCGACCGGTGAGGGCCTGAGCGTGCATATTGTGTGCACGGTTGCTTTCGGTCGACCAACGCTCTAAGGGCGGTCGACCGACCTGTGTTCTCTTTTGTTTGAAGTGTTGTTTTTACACCTCTTATTTTCAAACGCGGGGTTCGAGGCGTATGATGATACACGTACAAGTATACATGTATAGTATTGTAACACATACATGAGTATCCTGAAGAGGATTAATACAGTTATTGTTTCGATTACACGGGAGATATGAGTTATTTAAACATTATATACATGTATATATATCGTTGATGAGCACCGCTCATTACTACTTGGGATAGTACGTCGATATACCATTAGTACATGTCATTGAGTCGGGTTTTAGGATGCTTGATCTAGTAGTCCGTCCGCACGTAGATGCGATGAGGCTTGTGAGCCGTATACCTAGGATGCCTGATTTGGTAGTCCGTCCCGCATGATAATGCAATAAATTATAAACTTTGCAAGGATTTGCATTGTGATAATTATTTGATAGCCTGAGTCTTGGTGGACGCCATTATGAACATGACTTATCGATGGGTTATATATGACCGAGGTACTTTACTCTTGTAAGTACGCGGGATTATATGCAGTTGTTTACATTATCTTCCAAAGGATAGTGAAAGATATTTTTGGTCCGATATTTGTGATGACTTTACTTCCTTGTATTGCTTTTATTTATTTCTAGTTTGGAAATGATAATTAGCGATTCACAATTTGAGACATATGGTATATACATGAAGGGTTCGCTTGACGTACCAGTTTCATGTTGTGAGTTTTTAATTAGTAATTCTATTTAGATTGTTTATTCTTAGTTCGGTATTGATATTTAGTCATCTACAATTTGAGACACATGGTATATATATGAGGGTTTCCTTGTTTAGATTATTTCACTCGATGTACTACGTCTCGTGTTGTAGGTTTCTAAATATTAATTCCTTTTAGATACAGGGTAAATAATCTAGGTAGACTATGCTTAATAGATAGAACCTCCATCATATCTAGTAGCCCTTTCCCTGGGAATGATGAAGATGATCTTGCTATAGCGCTCTGATGCTCTTGTTGTTTCTCTTTTTATTTTCCAATTCCTTTCAGGCAGCAGCTCAGAGTTTCGGAGAGCCGCAGAATGACGGACTTCCAGCATAGTCGCAGTTACATGTTTGGTAGATGAGACTCCACCATAGTTGATATTTTCTTTCAGACATTTAGAATTTTGTATTTCATCTTGTAAATGTTGTGTGCCTTAGTTTATTTTCAGTTGACTCATATTGAGATACTTCACACTTATTTCAGACTTCAGTTGTATTCAGTTTATTCGGTTGATGCATGATTATATTTATTAGATATCTCTTTTTACATCATGTCTAATGTATTTATTTCCCTTATTTTGTCTGTTTTCTACCTACACTTGTTGTTAATTCCACTAGAAAGATATTACTGTGATGGTGAAACATGTTGTTGCATAGTGTGAGTGCATGACAGGTTTGACATCTCTGGATTCACATTAGACTGCAGCTATGTGTGAAAACATGAGCGTCACATAGGGGCTTTGGGATTGTTGAAAAAGCCTTTTGAAGGGCGGGGGAAACTTGTAAGAGAATTGGGGGCTAGAAGCAATTTTTCCTGGACTAAAATTTCAACCTATCACCTGGGCTATATAGAACTTACAAGAAACAAACTAGACGGCGGCAGCTTAAAAGTCCACTTCTTCAAAAGAAACATCATCAGGCAAACTAGTAACACAAACATGTGCATTGACCTTCAAGTCAAACCAACTATCTGGAGGTTTATTTGCTTCCTGCCAAAGTAAGATTGTGCAAGTGTGAGCAACCTCGCCAGATATCATAATATATACAAGATTTTACCTCATTAGATATCATAATATATGATAGATTTGAGATTCATCCCAATTTACTTTTGTAATATCCAAGTAAAGCTACCCAAGAAATAAAAAGTTGAATGCATACTATAGATCTGGTAGACAACAAATAATTATGCAACTATCACAGACAGAATACCTACAGGCAATTCGTTGAAATCAAACCAACAAGATTATCAAAAGCTATAACAAGCAAACATACAGACTTCACAAAGACAACTATGAAAAGAAAATGGATTCACAATTTTTCAGTGGCCTTCTCACGCCAGTTTTTGCTTCGCATCTGGTATTATCTCAGTTTTTTTATAACAATAGGAGTTCCTCTGTAAGATTTAGGGTCAGTTTGGCAAACTACACAAAACTGGGTCAATATTAGTCCTGATCGGGTTTTGTGCTAAACTGATTTTGTTTTTATTTGGACCAGTACCCCCCTGGTCCAAATGAAAATCAGTTTAAGGCCACCGTTTGGCCTATGAAAACAGGGCTAGATCTGGCTTTGTTGTTTGCCAAACAAAAAATCTTCAAAACCAGGCCAAGTTTGAACCTGACCCAGTTTTGGTCTAGTTTTTATAAGCCAAAAAAGACCCCTAAACTGGTTTTCGCTTGGACAGAAGGAGAGCGCTGGTCCAAACTAAAACCAGTTTAGAATGAAACTAGGTCATGACTGATCCCGGTCCGGTTTTTGATATTTTTTCCAAACACCCCCTAAGATTGCGATCCCATTTATAAGTAATCCGTCATCACCAGTGAATTCTTCTTCACCGTCTGGTGCAGTTGATGGCCTTTCATCAGTATCTATTTCTGTTCTCTCATTGACTCCCATCTCCAAACTCACCATTGGTGCCATTTTTAAAGAGCCTCTGCCTCTTTCACCCTCCTCCTCCTCCCATTTCGCAAAGTCGTCGCCAGCATTTTCCGAGAACTCTGCAACACCCAGTATGTTGTAAGTTGGGGAACCTGAAAGTAGAACCAAACAATGGCATAAAAATCGGAATATATTAATAATCAAAAACAACAAAAGCAATCTAAAAGATCAAATAAAACCCCCCAAATTAAGTGCCAGTAAACTAGTTGAGGGTGAAAAGTGCTACTCAAGGTACAGATGCCAGGGTTACATGTAATTTAACCATTGTAACACAAACTATATTGAATCAACAAATAAGTAGGGAAATGGGAAATGTTCGGAATTTCCTATTACCAAAAAAAATCTATTCGATAATCATGCGTATATTCTCATTAGTAAATTTTCTACTCATTAGTTATATAAACATGAATTAAGGTTAAAAAAAGGGCAAAGATCAAAGGTAAACCTGGTTACTCAGAGATCGTACAAGGACCAACAGACTCATGATTCACTAGTAAATACTCACCGCTTATTAAATAGAATATACATTACCTGTCATCTCATTAGAAATGCTCATTCTCACATAATGCCTGCCATCTCATTAGAAATGCTCATTCTCACATAATGCCGGAATTGAAAATGATCTTTCTTTCTAGCTTCCAAAAAGAAGTTGTGTTCGGGAGGAAGAAATAAGAAGTGAAAATTATCATTCAATTCCCCTTTATACCCCCCAAAGGTACTAATGTCAGCAAAATTATTTCACTTCTGAAATATGTCATCTTTTCTAAATTTTTGAGAAAAACAGAAAATAGTCTGATCAATTGAGATTTCTGCCTTCACTCTCAAATCAGAAGGAAAAAGGTATAAACAAAAAGAACGCATAACGATTTAAGTATTAAGGGTATAACTTCAACAAAAACAAGAAAAATCAATACTACAACTAAATGATGAGAAAAATAAGAATCCATGTTTAGCAGAACAATACAGTGCAAAAATCCGGAGCTAGGAAAATTCACATGGCGGACAACAACAACAAAACCTTTATGAAAAGGAGGCTAAAAACAATTGAGAACGGTATACCTCCACACTAAAATGAATTCGTCGTGATACCAGCTGGATCTCAGACGAGCAAAAACCAACATTCAAAAAGAAAGATAAGGCAAAATTTTCATAAAGTACTAGACATCAACATAATTAGTGATTGCAATTTGTACAGTTAAATTACATTCTCCATTCTCAGTTCTCATGCACAAGGAGACCCACTATAACAGAGTGAACACAAATTAGAACCAGAATATCACGTCCTCTGTAGAAAAAGTTCTGCACAAGAAACACACATCAATCTGCTTCCAGCTCTGCACCGAACTGCTCCAGTCTCGCAGCATCAGCATCGTAATCACGAATACGAGCATGGTTGACAGTACCATCATCTTCACTTGCATGTACCAAGTTGCCGCCGAACCTACAGACAAGAGAGGGATAGCGGTTGGGTACATATACACGTCACTGCAAAATGACAATCGAACCTCATGGATAATATCTAGGGTAAATTGCATAGACCCCCTCTAGTATCGCTATTTTCAAAGGGCACTTCCACTTTTGCAGATAGACCTCCTGGGTTAAATTTTTTCTGACTCTTTTACCCTACGTGAAATTTTGGCAGATATTGCCTACGATATTTATACATTCGATTACTAATAAATATATGTTAAATAAGTAAGTGCACAACTAGCTGTTCTGCACAATCTACAACAATTTAACAACACAGAAACATAGATCAAGCCAGTGATACTAAGGGGGTCTGTGATTTAACCCTAATATCTATGGCGAATATACCTACTAAGGGAGTCTACGTGCTTTATTTAAGCCTAATATCTATGGCGAATATACCATCTGTCTTGCATAGGTTTACAAAGCCTAAATCGATCTAATTCTCTCTCATCTAAGTGACCAAACAGAGAAATTAATTTCATGCAACTTTCTAGTCAGACTCAACCCATGACAGGAAATGAAAGATTCTGGACCTTAAGAAAATAATACTTTTGGCTAGAAACGGCTGAAAACAAATGTGCCATTAAACATAACCTGATGTGTAAGTGGTTTCTAGCAAGTTCAGGCACAATTGATAAGTCTCTCCTAGTTCATGTTGCCTCTGGCACTCAAATAATAGAAAATTTAGATGCGTAACATGTAAACATAGCCATTTATAAGAGGTAGACAAGTCGTGTACCACGCGTAGATATATAGGGCATCTGTTTACAATACCAAGCAGACTAAGGATTTGGAATGGATTGAATCCTGGTTTCCAAGAATACCTAGCGCAGGAATAACACTCAATTGCTTTCATAAACATAGTTATTCCATCTTGTTTATAGGTACAGCATAAACTTCCGGTTGATATCTTGATATAGATGCACATTTTTAAAGTTTAAATCAAAATGCACCTAATGGTAATGGTGTTTTGCATACGCAGAAAGAAACCATTGAGCTTCCTGCATTGACCAGTGGAAAGTGCCCGTCTATAGCGGTACATTTGTGTGTGATTAAACGAATGAATGAGGTAAAATGCCAGAGCAATGCGTATTTTGCTGCTGGTGGTGCCATGGTGGTGGCATGGTAATTGGTGGTGGTTAAGGTCGCTAGAATAGAAATCACAAACTGCACAACTGATACTAAAACCAATTCTTAGCCCTAAAATCAAGTTAATGCATCATAAACACCCTTACAAGCGCTATGATAACAATAGCCTGAAATAGTGCTTAGAACTTCGCAATGATCATGGTCTTTTTTCATTGCCTAGTAAATTAGGTCAGGTAGAGCCTGTAGAAACTTCAGAAGTTCCAACAGTATGTAGTTTATGGTTATTCCAACAGTATGTAGTTTATGGTTATTTGTTCATATGACGAAATCATGTAGAAACACCTTTTTTCCTTTTGATTGATTGATACAGTTGAGTCTTGCATGAGACACTTAACAAAGAAGTGTTACGTAGTTGCAGACAAAAGTGAAACTAGAATAGCTGCTGCAATAATCTGAAAGAAATGTACCATCTGCCATTCAGGAGCTCAATGCACTTAGCACCATCTCTTCGATCCTTGAACTTCACTAAAATGACACCTTGAGGGTGATTTTCACACACCTGCAAAAATACATTTACCAATAACATACATTAAACAAAAAAATCAAAATTCAGTTGGCTGACACAATATGCCATCTATTGGTGGCTATGCACAAAAAAAGATTAACGACATATGAAGGAGAATGAGGTTGACATGTAACAAGAACATGAATACAATTTATGAGATATCAAGAAGAATGAGGTATAAAGGAGAATGAGTTGGCATCTAACAAGAAAGTTTTATTGCAATTTCATCCTTCTGTTATTTTTTTAACCATGGTTGGGTTAACCCTTAACCTAACATTTGTAATTACCCAAATAGCCCTCTAGTATATGTTCCCCCTCAAAGCAACCTAATGGCCACTCAGTTCTCAAATTCTTCCCGCTCTCTAAAAGAGGAGATAACATCCCCCAAATCGCATTGTTAGAATTAGTATTTTGGTTATCGGGTTAGGGCCCATTTACCCATTAGCCTATTACCCATATGTAACCCTATATAAACTCATGTGAATGAATGGAAGAGGCAAGCTCTCTAAATTCTCTATTTCAACATGGTATCAGAGAAACCCTAACCCTACCTTTTTCTTTCAGCCGCCGCCTCTCCACTGGAAAGCAAAAAAAAAAAAAAAAAAAAAGGGCAACAAAACTGAACCTACCTGACGAAGCCGCCGCCGCGACGGAGCCCAGACGGAGTTCGACGAAGCTGTAGCCGCCGCGAAGCTCCAGATCTACCGCCGCGAAGATCCAGATCCACCGACGAAGTTGTCGCCGCCGCGAAGATCCAGGTCCGAGCTCCAGACCGACGAAGCCCAGATCCACCCCGTCGCCGCCCTTCCTTTTTTTTTAACGCTGCTGTTATTGTGATTTTCCTTTTTTTTTATTTGAGTTTGGGCCATTTGTTGGGCTTGATTGTTGGACTTTGTAAGGAGAGGAGTGATATGTTCTTTTACTTGATGGGGGTGTAAGAACTACAGAACAAAAAAAAAAGAAAAAAAAAAGAAAAAGAAAAAAAAATTTAATGAAAAATATATATTTATATATATATATTTATTAATATATATATATGAACAATTTTTCACTGTAGCTTCGGGTTCTAACCTTCGGGGGTTTATGAATTCTAACCCTTCGGGTTGATATACATTAACCTTCGGGTTTTTTATTTCTAACCTTCGGGTTTTATACCAGGAGATTGTGTTCCTCCTACTTCTGTACTATCCTGGTCTATAACAATGACAGGATCTGACATCTCTTCCGCTGCTATTACTACTACCCCTCCTACTGCTGAAATCTCTGCCCCCAAAGTTGTATTGGGGACTACTGTGAAGTTAAATGGTACTAACTATCTACTTTGGGCACAAGCCTTCCGTATCTTCATTGGTGCTCAGAACAAACTGGCTCATCTTCTGGCCCCACCTCCTGCATCTACGGATCCTACGTATTCTGCATGGATCTCTGCTGACTGTTGTGTGATGACTTGGCTTCTTAACAGCATGGAAGCCCAGATCAGTAGCAGTGTCATGTTTTCGAACACTGCTAAGGAGATGTGGGATAATTTAAAAATTATGTACGGGAATGAGAAAAATGCATCCCGTGTGTTTGAGTTGTATGAACGTCTTTTCTCTATTCAACAGGGTGATCGCTCTGTACCCGAATACTTTGGGGAACTGAAGAGTCTGATTGATGAATTGGAAATGCATCAGCCCGCTGTTACGGATGCCGCAACACTGTTGGGATATCGTAGGGACCTTGCTGTCTCCAAGTTCTTGTCTGGTCTACATCCCACTTTGCAGTTGGGATATTGTTGGGATATCCTAGAGAGGTTCACTGGACTGCTGCTTTGAGGATTTTAGCTTATGTCAAAAGTTGTCCTGGAAAAGGATTATTGTATAAGAAGCATGGACATCTACACATCTCTGCCTTTTCTGATGCTGGGTATGCAGGAGACATAGGAGATAGGAAGTCAACTTCTGGATTTTGCACATTTATTGGAGGAAATCTAGTTACTTGGAGGAGCAAGAAACAAGATGTTTCTCGATCTAGTGCAGAGGCAGAATACAGGGCTATGGCTCACACTGCATGTGAGATGATATGGTTACAGAAACTGTTGACAGAGCTTGGTTTTACTCAGCCTGGTCCTATGCCTATGCATTGTGATAACCAGTCTGCTATCTATATTGCAAAGAATCCAGTATTTCATGAGAGAACTAAGCACATTGAAGTTGATTGTAACTTTGTTAGAGATGCTTGGGAAAAGAAAGTGATCTCTCTTCAGTTCACTCCATCCTCCGAACAATTGGCTGATATTCTCACTAAAGCTACATCACCTAAGGTGTTTTCTATTCTATGTAACAAGCTGGGCATGGTTGATATATATGCTCCAGCTTGAGGGGGAGTGTTAGAATTAGTATTTTGGTTATCGGGTTAGGGCCCATTTACCCATTAGCCTATTACCCATATGTAACCCTATATAAACTCATGTGAATGAATGGAAGAGGCAAGCTCTCTAAATTCTCTATTTCAACACGCATGAAACTGTGAGATTGAAAAAGAATTATCCCCATCTATAGTTTGAGATAATAAAGAAAAAAACCCCAACTTTTTTACTTTAGAAGAATAGTTGGGACGATGAGAAATGGATAGAGTAGAAAATTTAGAGAATTATATAGGGTTTAGAAGGAACATTACCATGGAAAGAGCTCTGAAGTAGGTTTGGAGGCATCCTTGACCTTTGTGTAAGAACTTTTTGGGTCTAAGTTTGAGGATAAGTGGGTTGTGGGTTCAAACCCGCTAAGAAATGGTAGGTGAATTTTAAATGAGGGTATAATGGGTAGATCCCCTCGTTAAGTTAAAGATGATGGAAAATTCCCCTCAGACTCACATTACTAAAGCACAGGATGAAATTGCAAAAGGCATATAGATTTGAGTGACTTCTGAGCAAATACTAAGAGCTGAGGGACTAATTTGCAATCATGGATGATTTAAGAGAATAATATGCGATTATCCCTTTAAAATAATATTCATGTCATTTGAAAAATCTGGGTGCTATTCTAAAGAGATGGCATTGTTAAACAATGAACTAAACTATGAATTCTGCCACCACAAAAGTCTACAACAGAATTTCTTTGTTAAATTTGATTGTCAGGCCATCCACAGTTAAAACCCAAAACTATATTCTTATGAGTCAAGGAGTAGGAGAATTGAACTTGAACACATAAAAAAAGGAATTTGAGGGAATTTTTCTTGGAAAAAAGTGATTTTTGGAGTGAGTCTTCCAGGAAGGTTGTCAAAAACCCTTTTTACAGTACAAGTTTAATAAGCTTTATCATTGCAGCAAGAAAAGAAACAAAAAAATAACTCGGAAGGATGCATAAGAAATGCACAGTCATCAAACAAATGGAAGCCTAAGTGCCACCAAGATGGTGTTAAGTAGCACCATGCATTTTCCACAAAATTTGACCAATAGATGGCTGCGTTAAGTTAAACCGATTGCATTAAAACACAAGCAGTCGGTCTAAATTGCTTCATGCATATTTTCATAGAATGGTTCAATTACAACCCATTACTCCAAGCATATGTCCATGGCGAAGTGAGCAATACTTTGCATGTAAGAATAGCAGGTTTCAAAGTTGAACATAAACTATTTTTAATATATTTTAATATAAAAAACTTCATAAATAGTGACAGCAGGAGGACTTAGTAGAGATACAATCTCATCCAAGTATTGTATTTTTACCTTAACAGATTCAACTGGACCCATCTTCATACATTCCTCTTGAACTTCTTCCTCTAGCTCCGGAAGAAGAGTCTCATCAGCCTGACAATGAAAAAATAAAAAGAACAAAGAACCACTCATGAGCAAATAATTATGATTTCAGAACCTAATAAAAATCCAACTCATAGATTAGAAGGGGTGAAATTTAAAAAAACAACCCTGCAAACAAAATTGTTGATACGATTCTACATGACCATTTTGATATGCTTACCCTCAATTCAGCAGGTTTAAACATATTTCGAAGGACAATAGTTGTTGGAATCGACACCTTTGCATCATCATGGCCACCTAGGTGAAATAAAGGTGAAGGCATCAAACAAAAGTGAATTTCCTACAAAATTCAGACAATTTAGCAGCAAAGTATGATACTAATGATGATTATCTGAACCAAGCACAATTCACAGTCAAAAATAAATATAAAAACTAGCGGGAGAGTTCTGGCTCATCGAAGTGACAATACTTTCATTTCTTCCATCCCTGTTACCGTGAATTACATCCTTTTATTCATTTTGCTGAATCTTGCTAACTCCAACTCCTTTGGATTCTAAGATTTCTCTCCACCTGTCTTTGTTAGATTTTATCACTCTGCCAATCTTATCAAGTAAGAAATATCACTATCAAACAACACACAACAAGACCCTAATTCACACGTCTTGTCAGCTCATCACAACCACAATGTACTTGATATTGCTTGAAAAAGGATGTGTGGTTTCTATGAAACAAAAATTGTCCGAAGAATGCAAGTAACCATTATTCTGGACTTAATGAAAGCGAAAGTAAAAAAAAAAAATTATCCCTTTTTTCTACAATTGCACGTTACATCTACGGGTACTGGTACAGATAGAAGTAGGGGACAAGGCAAATTTGTAATAGGTAGGGTAAGAGGACACGGCTATATAAGTGTATGTTACATATATTTATATGCATTAAAATTAATAATTTACATAAGATCAATATTGTCTTTTTCATGTACGCGCGATCACTATATAAGAAATAATACTTCACACTCCAAACTCACACTGGACTTAGAAAATAAAACTTAACTGAAAGAGCACCCCTTACATCGAACTACTCCTCTCCTTATATATGTTAGAAGAGAATAAAAGATACATATTTTAAGAAGACAACTGGCAAAGCACTGACAAAAGAAAGTTGGCAATGTACTGACAGAGAATCTTCTTTTCAAAAGCAGCTTTATTAAAGCTTTGCTTTTAAAAAAGCTTCTTTAAGAAGTACTGGATTCTGATGAGTGGCTCCCCGAGGCTCAACTCATAATGACCTATTTACTTTTTTTTCCTTTTCCTTTTAGGTCTGATGATGGAACCTGATTCAGTATTCCCATAGCAGTTTTCCAAATATCTTCTTCTTCTTCTTCTCCTTGTGCGTCTGGTAAAATGCTATCTTCACCACAAGAATCAATGCTCTTACTGGATTGTGTCTCCATATTATCAAATACTTCAAAAAACTGTCTTTTCATATGATCAAGACATTTTTGCTGAATTTTAGCATCAGAAGCTTGCGGGTACTTTCGCCTAATCATTTTGGCTAACTGCATCATAGGGTTAACCTTTTGAATCTCTTGAGACATAGATTGTTCGAGAACACTATTATTTCTCTCTATAATTTCTTCACTTAATTTGACATTTTCGTCAATAATTATTCCATTCCACCATCTACAATAGTGATTTCTTTTGAGAATAGGTAAATGTAAATCATCCCAATCAGACTCAAAGGTCCATGTCCATATCCATGGAATCTCTGTTTCAGAGAAGAAGTAAACAGCACATAAGCCTTCGATAATATATTGTCTTCCATTTTTGAAATGAGAGGATGAGACTCTACCCAAGCCGAATATAATTTGCTTATGGATTCGGGTAAGATGCTTAATTCAGCACACCATAGATTGTCCACCAATTGTAAAACCATGAAGGAATTCCTTTTTTAAGGGCTTCTGGACAAAGTTTTATCAGCCAGGTATGCTTTTTCTTGGGATTTTGATATAAAAATATATTATAAAATGCCTGCTTATAATCCCAATAATTAAAAGAATAAATTTTTTTTGAATTTTGGGCTTTAACCAGAGGCAAGTCTTGGTTTGGGTTTAGAGCCCACTTTCGAGGTAAAATAACTTCTTTGATGATGCATTTACTAAAATTGGGCGGAATAGTTCTATTTTCAGATCCCCAGAAATGGGTTATTTCCATTCCCTTTTGCATAATTAAAGTTCTCATCCAAGATCTGGATATTAATGACAATGTTGGGTAATAATTGTCATTCAAGTATCTTGTTCTGATATTTTTAATATCTTGCATTGAAAAAACATCTTCTGGTTCTAAATATAGAACTGTTTCTGATCACCTTTTAGGTGTCCAATTGGCTTCTTGTTTTACTATTGCTGAGAAAGGCTCAGGATTATTTTTCTGACTTACTTCATTTATAAGGTCATTTACTAGGCCTTTATAAAAGGCTGGGCTTTTAGCCTGACTTCCTGAATAATTCTTTTTTGTCACAGTTCTCCATGAACTGGATTCAGGATTCGAACTTTCAAAGAATTCATTAGGACTATAAGCCCTCTGACTGTGTTGAGGTGAATTATTACCTCTGCCTCTCCTCCCCCATAAAGAGGGATTATTCCGCTTCATGGGCACCCTGTAAAAATTCACGAGTAAGAAAATCGGGTAAGTAGTTATTACTACCTTTAATATATTCAATTTTAAATTCGTACATAGCAAGTTCAGCTTGCCATCTAGCAAAAATTTGTTTGGAAACAAGATTTTTAACGTCTTTTTCTATAACACTTTTAGCAGAGCTACAATCAATACGTAATAAAAATTATTGGTTAAGAATATCATCTCTAAATTTAGAAAGGCATTTAATAATAGAAAACATTTCTTTTTTAATAGTATAATAATTAAATTGGGCTTTATCCCATTTTCCAGAGGTAAATCTAACTAACTGTTCTTTTTTAGTAACAGGTCGATTTGTTTTAAGATTCCTTCATAACCTAGATTAGAGGCATCAGTTTCAACTATTTTAAACCAATCACTATTTGTTAAATGAGTACACGGTAAACATTTAACATTAATTTTTATTCTTTTAACAGCTTCAGTATGCTGATCTGTCCAAGGTTTAGCATTCTTTTTCAAACTATTATATAAAATAGCAGTGTCTTGGGCTAGATTTTTATAATAATCTGCAATATAATTAAGAGAGCCCAAAAATCTTTGTAGTTGTTTAGCATCATTAATAATATTGGGAAATTTAGAAGCAAATTCAATACTTCTATCAATAGGAATTATAATTCCTTTATGAATATTATGACCCAAAAATCTTGGGTTAAAAATAATTTTATTTTGGGAGCAGATACTGCTAAACCATTTCTTATAGCTAAATTTCTGATCCTCAAACTCGTTTATTATATTCGTACATAGCAAGTTCAGCTTGCCATCTAGCAAAAATTTATTTGGAAACAAGATTTTTAACGTCTTTTTCTATAACATTTTTAGCAGAGCTACAATCAATACGTAATAAAAATTATTGGTTAAGAATATCATCTCTAAATTTAGATCAACATGTTAAATATTTAGAAATTTAGCTATAAGAAATGGTTTAGCAGTATCTGCTCCCAAAATAAAATTATTTTTAACCCAAGTAAGATTTTTGGGTCATAATATTCATAAAGGAATTATAATTCCTATTGATAGAAGTATTGAATTTGCTTCTAAATTTCCCAATATTATTAATGATACTAAACAACTACAAAGATTTTTGGGCTCTCTTAATTATATTGCAGATTATTATAAAAATCTAGCCCAAGACATGCTATTTTATATAATAGATTGAAAAAGAATACTAAACCTTGGACAGATCAGCATACTGAAGCTGTTAAAAGAATAAAAATTAATGTTAAATGTTTACCTTGTGCTCATTTAACAAATAGTGATTGGTTTAAAATAGTTGAAACTGATGCCTCTAATCTAGGTTATGAAGGAATCTTAAAACAAATCGACCCTGTTACTAAAAAAGAACAGTTAGTTAGATTTACCTCTGAAAAATGGGATAAAACCCAATTTAATTATTCTACTATTAAAAAAGAAATGTTTTCTATTATTAAATACCTTTCTAAATTTAGAGATGATATTCTTAACCAATAATTTTTATTACGTATT